CCTTATTTAGTCAGCCGCCGGGCTGGGGCCAGGTTCGCCTCAGTCTCCTCTAACTGGCTAGAAACAGCGCACGGGCGCGTGGGCCGCCGGCGTGCCGCCGCGTGTCGCGTGACCGGCCCTCACGCCGAGCGTGACCGCCTCACCGCCGTGACTGACCGCACCGTCCGCCTGTCCGCAGACAAGAACGAGTGCGAGCCGAACCCTGCCGTCACAACGGCTCGTGCGTGACGCCGTGCCGACTACGCGTGTGCGTGCCCGGAAACGCGCAAGGGCAAGCGCTGCCACCTGACCGACTCGCACTGCGATCTCACCACGTGCCTGAACGGCGGCACGTGCCGCGACCTGGGCTCCACGTTCCTCTGCCACTGCACGGATGACTGGGAGGGCACCGTCTGCCAGCTGCGCAAGAACCCCGCCTGCAGCACCAGCCCGTGCCTCAACGGTGCCACGTGCGTCAACCGGGCGACACGTACTCGTTGCATTTGCCGCGAGGGCTACGAGGGCCGCGCTCTGTTGAAGCACGGACATCAACGACTGCAACCCGCACCCGTGCTACAACGGCGGCAGCTGCGTGGACGGCATCAACTGGTTCAGCTGCGAGTGTCCGCGCGGCTTCCCTCGGTCCCGACTGTCGCATCAACGTGACGAGTGCGCCAGCAGCCCGTGCACGTTCGGTAGCACGTGCGTGGACGCCGTCGGCCGGCTACACGTGCATCTGCCCGCCTGGCAGGGCCGGCTCCCGCTGCTCGGAAGGTACGTGTGGCTTGTACGGGCCTGCTCCGTTTTCGAATTGGGGGCCACATGAAACGCTTTTTTAAGTGCCTGTGTGTTGTGACTTCCGGGATTGGGTTGTTTTCCTCATGACGCCGAGGAACGACGCCTGCGGATCGTTTTCGGCCACAATGGACCCGGCTTTGGGTGTGACATTGGTTTGGAGCGATGCTTCGGCTTGCCAGCGGTTCAGCAGCGCGAGCCTGCGTCGGAGAGCGCGAGCCGTGTGGCTGCCTGTACCGCCCTTGTGAAGACCCTCACATGGCACATGCTCTAACGCGGCTGCTCGCCGTGGCAGTGGTGGATGCGCCCGTATCGGGGGCCTCCTGCTTCTGGCGCGGCTCGCACTACTCGGACGCGACACGTGGCGGCACTCGTGCAACACGTGCCGCTGCCAGAACGGACTCGTCACGTGCACCAAGCTGTGGTGCGGCGCCGGCAACTGCATCGAGTCCATCAACGACGTGCTCACGCTGTCCGAGTGCGGCCCCAGCCAGGTGAGCACCCTGTCCTTCCGCCCCCATCCCCTCCCCCCGCCGTCTGCCGCCGACCGCCGCGGGACAGCCACGGAGCCGCGCTGGGCTGGGAGTGGCCCGGTCTGTCTCGGCGAGCATTACGCTGTCGGCGGTGGCAGCGGCGCCGTAATATTCATGAGCGAGACATTATGTCGCCTGCAAGTGCAGGGCTCGCCCGCCGGTCACCACTGTCGTCCGCGCCGCCTGCACGGACGCGATGCCTCCCAGGCGCCAAACCCCTTTCTCAGCTGCATACCAGCTTTACACCGTTGGACCGCTTACTTGTGCATTGAGAACACCTTTCACTGGGCACACGCTGGGCAGCTGTTCATTTAACGAGCCCCTCTACCAGCGGAGACACACGCTCGCACGAGCGGTCCCCGGGCTTTGTCTGGCGCCTCGCCGTCCGCGTCGCGTCGTGACCGACGTCTCCTCCGCGGCAGGTGTGCGTGCGCGCCCCGAGCGAGTCCTGCCTGGCGCCGCCGTGCGCGCCGCTTGGCGAGTGCCGCAAGCTCGGCGTCGGCAAGACCGTCGGGCCGCCCATCAGCCCGGCGCCCACCAGCTGCTGGCCCAACCAGGCGTTCCTCAGCAACTCGTGCGCCAAGCTGCGCGTGCGCTTCGACACGGCGCGGCTGGCGGTCGGCTCGACGGTCGAGTCGCTCTGCGGGCAGCTGCGCAGGCTGCTGGTCGACAGGCTGGCCGACTCGCTGACGGCCGAGGCGCTGGTCGTCATGTGCGACCTGGCGGCCGGCGAGGCCGCCACGCTGGCCGTGACGCTGGTGAGTCGTGACGCCGCGACGATGGCGGCGCAGATTGGCGCCGCAGATGGCGCCGGATAACGGGCGCAGGCGGCGGACGGGATCGCGTCTGGTCTTGGGCTGAGAGCGTTACGGGTGGAGTGCGGGGCTTCCACGAACGGCTGGGTGATCTGGACCGATCGGAAAACTGTGTGTTTTATGATCGCGTGATAGTTAGCGATCGGTATGCGGCGGGGATATCGTTGATGGATGGATTAAAGTGAGTTAGGCAGATTGCTCGCGTCTTGCTGGATATTTTGACGCACGGCAGGCTCAATTGGCTCTCTAATCTCATGTTCTTTGAAACAAGTGCTTGCAATTTATCCGCTCTATTTCCAGCCCAGTGCAGATATGTGATGATACAATGGGATGATCCACATTTTTGGCTCAGTGAGTAGCTCACACCCTGCACCCATGACGCTCTCGTCACTCTCTAACGTGCCCGCCTCCTCCGGCAGTCGACGCCTCGTTCTGCTGAGGTATCCGCCATCAGCCCGCTGGTGACGGAGACAGGCGCAGCGTCTCGGTGACCTGCTGAGCTCAGGGCACGGCTCGCTGCCGGTGGCCGCCGCCGTCACCGAGGTGCACACCGAGACGTCGGCGCGCGCCGAGCCGGCCGCCGGCGGACCGCTGCTCACCGTTGTGTGCACGCTGGTCGCCGTGCTGGTGCTGGCCGCCAGCCTGCTGCTGCTGGCCTGGCAGCAGCGGCGCCGCGCGCGCCGCCTGCGCGACGATGCGCTGCGCAAGGAGGAGAACTGCAACAACGTGCAGAACGAGAAGAACCTGCGGCGCTACCGAAACCGGCTAGACAGTGACGAGCCCGAGTGCCGCGCCGGCTGCACTAGCGACGCCTACCGGGACGGCTACAAGCTGAAGGAGCTTGACATGCCGTCGGGCGGCGCTGCAGCGGCTGCTGCGGCAAAACGCCGCGACTCGCTGGACTCGGTCGAGCTGCGGCTCGACTCGCCGCGAGCCGAGAAGCCGGCACTGTACAAGCCGGTGAACGTGAACAATCTGGCGCCGCCGCGGGGCGCCGGGCCCTCCAAGGAGATTAACAAGGAGATCCTGCGGGACGCGGCGCAACGGCAGCCGGCGCCGAGCAGAACGCTGAGCGAGGACTCACCAGAGCTGCACGAGGTGCTAGTGTGATGGCTGGCGCGCCGCCGGTCGGTCGGCGCGAGGGCGCCTGCGCGCCCCCACTGGACCAGTGCAATGCTCGGTGCGCAGGTGCGTTTTGTTTGCGTTTATCGTTTTTGGAAATCAGTTTACGAGCTTAATTGATAGTGATGTATATTTTATTGTTGACGATAATTTACTCTCTCGGTTTTACCAGTCAGGAGGAAACGCATTGGCCGGCTCGCTCGGTGCACGTGTTTTTCTGACCAATCTAATCTCAGTTGGGGCGGGGTTCATTTCATGCTGGTGCGCGTGCTCTGGCACGGGCCGTTGTGACTTGCGCGCCGCAGTTGCGCACACCAGCGCGATACCACTGCGCAGAGCTGTGATGATTTTATACACATTTCACATCCGTGTGACATATATCTCATTCGCCATCACTGTAAGATGTACGATAAGAACTGTGCGGCGGACTGGCGTTCGCTTCGATTCTCACTCGCGTTGCCATATGTGTGTTTCATGTGTTTGAGTGTATGTGATCTCTCGCCGCTGCTTCGTGTGGGGGGGGGGGGGGGAGGGGGCGGGGCTGGCTCATGTGGGAGGTGATGCAGGCTTTGGCCGTACACTCGGATATATTTGTATTATTCTCTGGAGCCTCGTTGGTTCTGAAGCGTTTGCCGAGTTGACTCTCCTCCCTGACCGTGTAGCCTTCAGTGCTCATTGTTCCGCCCTGTTTCGCAACAGAAAACCCAGTGGTGCTCTTTTAACAAGGTTTGTACCATTTTCATGAGGAAGTTTGGGTGAGGGACAGGGGTGGGGAGTGGCGGTCGACCGATCGAACTCCACCACGTCGAGGCAGCTCTCACGTGCAAGTCATCGACATTGCAACTATTTAATATTGGTGTAATTGTATACCGTACGTGCGCTGTACAGAGATGAATACACTTGTGAATTAGTCTGGGACGAATGGTACACTGATATACCTCAGTCATGATGAAATTACGTGGGAAAGAGACGAGACACATTTGAGCTGGAGGTATTGAGAATTGGATTACGTCTATGCGAGGATATTCATACCTTTCCGCCGTCCATTAAATCCATGTAATTTGTTCCCCGCTACCGCTCCACTTCTCAACTGCATCCAAATATTCTCACCGAGAGCGAGATCCGTGTCATTGTGAGATGGAAACAAGCCAGCATTCGCACAGCCGTGCACTTTAAACAGCAGCATTAATGCATTGCTTTTCCGGTATAAGTACAACAGATAACACCTTGACTCGAGGCGCGGTGAGCTGTTTGCTGATTTGAGATGGCAACGTACAGAAGCCAGTGATACAAAATGTGTGCTCAATATGCGGGGCTTCTCTGGGGATGACCATGTAAGCTGTGGCGTGCTATTGTCAGCTTTATTTTAAAAGCTTTTCATCAGTTGAAGTAAGACCCGCTCATACTACGTGACTCCCCAGTGGAACCTTTTAGACTCGATCGGTTTTCACGTTTTGTGTGTTTCCGAAGTGGTAATCTCACTCTGTTGTTACCGCAATGACATTGACTCAGTCAAATGCACACGGTAGTGGAAGAAATCGAGCATGACCCACAAACACTGCTAACGCCGCCGCTAAGGGCGCTGACCGGCCATCACAGAGAGCGTCTGTTTTGAGAACCCACCGCCAGACGGCGGTGGCCGAGCGCTGAGTTCATTCTCCCGCCACCAGAGCGATCCAGTGGCGAGCCGGCACCAGCACAATAGGTGGGTGCCGTATCTAACAGCTTAGGCTGAAGGAGTGATGTTCCTTCCAGAATGTTTGTTGTCTTTTTACGGAAGTCTGCGTACGTAATACCAGCATTATGTATTATGTTTGTAACACTGACATTCATGACATTAATGTTCCTGATATTAATGTGCGCCCGCCAACGTGACTAAAGACGAGCCAAGAAATACAAATACACACCGTGAGAAAGACAGAAAATAGCCCAGGGACTGAAACAAGGCCAGGTTAGACGCGCGAAATCAAAGGTGCATTTACACTTCTCTGTTTTTTTTATGGCAAGGGCGTGTTTTACCAGAATGTCTAGGCATTTACACGATTTATCACTTGTACTTATGGTTTCTAATGGTGTGTACATATCGTTTCCACATAGATCACATTTTTTTCAGATCGTGTTTGAGATGTAACCGTACAACTGTAATGCATGTACGAGTAGGATGTACCGTAAATTTACCAGCCCAAAACATTATTTCGATCTCCATTATTCCGACACATTGTATGACTGTCAACAGATTTGACGCAGCCAAAGGGGGGGGGGGGAGTGAGGAAGGGTGGGGGTGGGAGAAGGCTCACAGGGCTGTAGCCCTCAGAGTCCGCCAGGGTCGAGGCGATACTATCAGGATTGAGCGCGATTTTCCCGCCACGACACAGTAAAATATCGGCTCACAACAAGGTGATCAAGACGATTGTTTCGGCTTTTCATCTCATTGACTACCACATGGGCCGTGACCTGCCGCCCCATGGTAATTTAGTAATGAGCTTAGCGGATAGCCCAGTTAATATGCCCGGTGCCCAACTAAGGCAGCTATTTTCAGCATAAAATTTATATACGCAGTTTCGATTCGATCTGAAGACGCGGTCTGAGCTGGGGCCGTTGAGGATCGCAAGTCCGACACCTTACTTTTTCCGGACCTGGAGAAGAGGCGCAAAAAGCAGCCACAACAACGGAACAAGGCGACGTAATTTTTTTCGCACGCTTTTAATTCAATTGTTTTATACCCGGGGACATTTTGAAGTTAAGGTAGGTCAATGCACGGGCCGACGTCAGTCGGAGGCCAAAATATAAAAATAAGGACCTTCACAGCTTGCTGAGGTATGGACAGATCTGGTGAATACCATAGGAATGTCCCGTTATGTTTTAAATGTGCATTGACTGGTTTGGTTTCATCTTTAAGCATTTATGACTTGTTGGAAATGACTTTAAGCCAATATTTGGGCAGTGGCCGATTCCAGTGGTAGGAGCCAATTTTCAACATAAACACAAGACCTAAAAACTCTCAAAGTATTGCCGCTGAGTGACTGGGTTCGTATTTCCTGCATCATTGCCAATCAAACACATTCGTAATAGGCTCTGTGGCTTTTGATTCGTAAAGCGTCTTTAAATAACACATTCAGTAGGTACCTACCTTAAAAACAACTGAAATGAATTATGGACTCTTAACTCGGCACATGAATAAAATGCATTTTTTAAAGTGCATGTCGGTTGACCTAGCCAATGTCAATGAACAGACGGCGTTTAAAATGAAACGAGGAATAACACACGAGACACATTCAAAGAAACTCTGGCGCATGGCCAACAAAGAGGCAAGGGCAAGACACCGGTGAGACAAAAGGTTTATTAGATACACAGGTATAAAGATATATAAAAGGTTTTTCAGGCTAAAATTCGCAGGATTTCGAAAAAAATGGTATTTGCCCCCACAATAAATGTTATTACTGCGTGCTTGCAGAAATGGTGCTGAAAAATCCGCGGGGATTACGTGGTTTTATTCTCACGGTCCACTGACAAAGCTTACCCCACATACTCACAGCGCAAACCAGCTCCTTGCCCCGCGCACTCCCTCCCCATCACCCGCATTCTGGCATCCAGGCCCCTTACCACTCTCTCACCACACAAAGTCAAAACTTGGCATTGGTATTCTCAACCCTCGTTCACCCAGGGAAGTTTATCCTTTCTTTGGAATCTGTCAACGAAAAATATATAGTTGTCTTAAATGGAGTGTCCCACCTGCGAGACATGTTTCCAAAACGCACTGTAGTAAAATCTCAAGACATTCGTCTGACGATA